ATCGAAAATATAAAAGGAAGGATCGGGGAAGAAAAATAAAAACGTTTGTCAAATAATCCCCCTTTTCTCGTAAATGCAGCTTTATCACAAAACAGCTGCAGTTACACTTCTCTGATGATTTAGGATTTCCTGTGATTAAAAACCTGCCTGTTTCGGAAAAAAAGTTAAGACCACACGGGGTTCAGCTAAATCGAAGCACCAAAAAATCATAGTCAAAGATGGGGTGGCGAAGCTTTCGATAGTTTCCTCTTCTAAGGATTGCTTAAAAGCAAGCTGATGGTGAGTGTTTGACCTCCTGGCAAATGACACTGCCAGTTTATCTTCGAAACGAATAAAGAAGGAGGGATTGGTTGTCCCATCGGCGGTGACGAACTTTCATTCTACCTCACAACAACAGTGTTACTCCATTGCGCCATGTTCTAATACAGGGCAGGAAAATAAGCAGATTATAATGATTAGTAAGGCATTGTGGAAGATTTCCATTATAAAACATTTCCCCGGTCCCTCCTGAATAACGGTGGTTTAATTCGACATCGCATGGAACTTGCTTTTGTATATCATTGTGTGTAAGTTGCAAATACTACTGAACATGCCGCGGTTCTCTGTTCTTTTAGGCCGAGCTTATACATGCAAGTTCTGCAACAGGTGGCTAGTACCACCGAACAGTTGGGTGTTCGCCGAACGAGAATCCAAGGAATTGCTCGCGATTTTGTTGAAAAAGCTGAAGCCCACAATGACTAAGGTTATCTCATTGTACTTCTAGCTTTTTGTTCCAAAATAAAAAAAAAAACTTGTCTATAATTCCGTTATTTTTTAATTTTCTTAATAGTTAGGAGATTTTAAGGGCAAAAAATGAGCATTTTGCTGAAATATTTTTAAGAAATTTGAAAACAGCTTCCAGACCATAAATGTTGCCCTTTTAGCTCTCCATTTTCATAACCGCACAAAGATTGGAATTTCCTTTCGATCAATAATTCAATTTAAAGTATTCTTCTATCTAAGCGGAAGACTGTAGAATTCACCGCACCTGTGTCTTTGTTGAATGTGTTGCATATTTCAGGTACGTTTGGTCGACGCTTCATTTGTGTGGACGGAGCCTCACTCCAAAAGAATCAAACTGAAGTTGACTGTGCAGAAAGAAGTTGTAACCGGTGCGGTGCTTCAGCAAATTTTCGTTCTGGAATTTGTAATTTTGAATCAGGTTTGCTTGTAATTTTAAAATATATCATCAGTTAATTATGTTGTTTTATCTCCTGCGAATTTTTTTATTGTTCTT